GCGTTGCGTAAGCGCCATGTGTTGTTTCGTGGTACCACCTGTGCCATGTCGCGCAAGAGCGTCAGTGACACTGCTGCTAATGCTTCATTGCTTTTGTCGAATGAAGCGGAGGGAGCGCAGGCGTACGGCACCACTTTACGTCGCTCCTGGGCACTCGTTCGCGGTCCTCGTACGTCGGTAGGTCGCTGCCGTCCCCGTATTCGTTGCTGCTGCCGCTCCGGTCGCTTCGGTTGTTGCTGCTGGGGCTGCTGGTGCCCCTGCTGCTGGTTCCGCTGCTCCAGCTGCTGCTGCGACTGCTGAGGCTGAAGCTGCTGCTACTGCAACTTCTGCTGCCAACGATTTGATACATCACCATAATATGCGACCGAGATGGAAGTTAGGAGCACGTAAAAGGCAGTGCCGAATGGCGAAGCGCCGAGGTTGCCGAAATTGAAAAAAATGGGGCAGAGCGTAGAGCGCCCGTCACTGGGTTGTCCTTGAGTCAGGTTGTACCACCGCCCGGCTTAGCGCCTGACTTGGCTTTGCTCCGCCTGTCGTTTTAGCTAATTTGAGAACGGTTACGTCACAAAGCAAGCTTTCCACGACGCTCAACAGGAGTCGAGAAGAATGGTTATTTTCGCGTTTATTCGATTTTATACGCCTTTATACCCCAAACAATCACTAAGCGAGGAAAAAAGCAAAGAAGACATAAGCGATCGCCGCAGCAGTACGCCATTGGCTAGTCACGCGTGACGCGCAACTACGTCATATGAGGACCATCGCGATTCTCACTTGCTTCATCAGTTGCGGAAGTAACCAAGAGCCGAGGCTTCTACTCTTGTAGATCAGGTTCGGCTTCTAATTTGCAGAAATATATTGGTGAATCCGAAAGAGGTATGTGTCCAGAAGACCCTCGACGTGAGAAACTACGCGTGCGTTTCAGCCATTGGTAAAGCAGAAAATGACCCCCCGCAATAATAAGGGCAGACATGAGGAACCGCTAGTGCCGACGCGACATGGACGGCTTCGTACGTTCAAGAACGTACTAACTGCTGTTTATTGTAACGTAAAACGCTGACAATATACGCAGTGCTATTGACGGGCCGCATCTGGCTGGATTACCGTAGTCCTCCCCAAAAATGGTCGTCAGAGGACGAGAATTCGGCACACATCGGCCTTCATGTTGGGCAGCTGCTGGTCACGTCAGCGTGCAGGCTGCATTGTTCACCAAGGCTGAAGCGGTTTGAAGGGATAGTATAATCTGCTTCGGGCGAGGGGAGAGCTTCCCCTCACATAAGACGGGTGATAGGACAGGGTAGTCGTTCTGCCACCGCCATGTCCTTGCGTACTACGCGAATAACTGCTCAAAAGGTACATTATTGTAATAGCGGTACCCTCTGCTGCGTTTAGTTTGTTTTCCACTAATTATTACGTCAGTACAACTTTAGAAAAAGCGGAGATGTGTGCCCGGCAGCCCTTAATTTGATGTCGAACGCGTGAAAACTTCCTGGACCTTTACATTGTGGGATTCGACTTACCTTACTGCACCAGGAGGTCGGTCCCACTCCGTAGCTGGATGTTGAGGACTGCTACGGCCGGGTCCGTCCGAAGGCTGCCGTGGGCTTTGAGGGGAGGAATCACTCCAAAACACAAAGGTACTGAAGAAGCGGGCTTATTCGGCTCCTGTGCCACCATGCTGTGTCCGTCGTCAAAACTAATAAATAAAAGGAACGGTAAAGTGTTCGCGCTGTCGTATTAGACAGATTTGTGGGACGAAGGGAAAGCACAAAAAGAAAGCGGCTCACGACGAGATCTTCCCCCAAAAACGAGAGTCCCGGCCGCCGCTCGCGGCATCTAGCCAGCGGAAAGTGAACGCGCCCGGGGTAGGTGGTATGGCTTATCACGTAGCTGGGCCGCGTCCACAATCATTTCCAAAGGGTGCGCCGGAGGCACATTCACCCAAAAGGGTGAGGCTAGGGTGCCTTCATGTGCGCTTCGCATAGAGTGATGCCAACTGCCTGTTTCCCTTTCCCCCACCCTCTTCCACCACCATTTTGTTCCTCTCATTGTTTCCCCTTGCGCCGGAAAGTGGCCTTTGTGTCCATCGGTCTTCCCATCTGAGGGGGAAAATGCTAATTCTCCCTCCGTGGGTTCCACAACGCTGCTCGGAACTTGTGAGAAAAGGTGCTTGTTTTCAGGAGGGTTATAAGCCCCACCGATTATCGCCGAGAACCAAAATGGCTGCTGGTTTGTCGGCGAGCGGTATTACAAAGGGTGGCATCACCCTAGCAAAGCGCACATGAAAACTCCCTCGGTGAGGGTAGACACGCCCTCTTCGAGGAATGTGGCCTTGCTCCCGTATCCCGAATGACGGCGCCATAACGCTCCACAGCCTGCGTGTGCTAGGCCTAGATAGGGAGACGGGGAGCATGTGGTTCCTACAAAATTCACATTCTTCTCCTAAGATATGTTGACTGCATTAGACCACCACCAAGCATTAGCATCGTCCGATCGCATTTCTACGGCACAAATAATTATTGCATGACACACAAACTTTATACGAAACACAATGCGCAAGGCTTGTTAAAAAGAACTCAATTCACAACCGAATGTCACAAGCTTTGTATCTCGAAACAGCGCGCTTTTTAAACAGATATGCACGTATAGAAGGAATATTTAACGAAATTTATCTGTACGTTAAAAAATACGTGACATCAAATAGTATCAGCGACTGTAAAAGAAAACCATTTTAGTGAAAAACCCGAGACTGGGGTAATGACAGACGAGGACAAGGAAGAGAAGAACGTCTCACTAAAATGTTTAATATGCACCAGCTCACTTGCGCCCTCATATTCTGCTCTGTAAAAGAAAGTTCATGCTAAAAGAAGTTTTACCGTGAAAGTCGTATAATCAAATGCATGACCGCTTATTACAACGAGCCCTCCTCTCCCAAGTTACTGGGTAGCGGAGTAGATTAAAAACAAAAGAAAACAATCTTGGGCAGCGGAGTTGGTCCGGGAATTATGGTCACTTCAACAATATAACAAACCAAAACTGCAACACTAATATAAGGCGGTTAACAGAAGAGTCAGTGGAAGTACGCTATTTGGCTACACTGATCGCGGCTTTTCCAGTACACAGTACACAACTAATAACGAAATAGCTTTTTTTTTAACAACTGTCGATTTTAAATTTTTACCTAGTTTCGTCTCTTTTTGCGTGTGCCTTTTAATCCACTGATTTGCCTTTTTACCTTCAAAGACGGTCGTCAGAGCGTCAGGTTCAGGCCAGCCCTCTTCAGGCCTAACCCCATACGTACAATGTTTTCATGTGCTCCGTCCGGACTCCACTTCCCAACAAGAAAAGCCGTGTGCTTGCTCAAGCTCGTCTGTTTGCATAGCGGGAGCCCATCCCTTGAAAATCTCAGTGCCGGAGTGAAAATGGCGGTAAGCGGGAAGAGCAGCTGAAACGAGCGCTGTTCGTGCAAGCCGACACTTACACGTGAGTACGGCATCGTGCAACATCACAAGTTAGTTGCTTCGGTGCCAGGAGAATTACGCAAACTCGTGAACAAACAAGAGAAGAATCAACACATCAGGCGATTGAGTCAATAGCACGACCGGTCAACGGGTAAAAACAAGTGGGAAACAAGCGGAACGCGGACAGACGCGGCGGAGTCCTTCAGCCAAACCACTTGTGATGTCGGCTGACAGGCTTTTTCCTCTCTCCCCTTTTCCTCTGCTTCGGAGGGACGTGGCTTCAGTGGTACTTTGAAGGCGCGTTTCCGCTTAATCCGCGTATAAGATGACCAAACGAATACAATAATCGTGATGGCTGAGGACTACTCCACTAGGCTCGGGTGGTTTATCTCATATTTAAAAAAAACGCTTCAACTTATCCTTTAACGCCGACCACAAAAAGCGCAGGATCATGGCACGTCCACTGTGCATCATTGGTTTAAACGCTTATAGCAAACACACAAGACTATAAGCGCTGTTGTTACTTTAGTTACACCATCAGGTCGCTAGACGTGATCGGATGGTGTCAGGGTGTCAAATCAGCCCCAAGCACCGACGCCGCCGTGTTATGCCGTACATCTTGTACCGTGATCATACGCAATGTTAGTTCTTGGAGGCATTGAAACATAATTTTACTGCCTTGAAATACGCAAGAAAAGAAACATAATTGTAAGAGATCTGGTGAAATAAGATTGAGTGATAAGACTACTGCATGCGCAGTGCCAAAGACGGTCATAATGGCCGAGGAACGCTTTCAGTACAATGATGCTCGATAACGATCTTGGTGCGACTCCTGTTAATGACCCTATCGAAGCTTCGATGCTTTCAAAGAGTCCAAAATGGCAATCACTATGGCAACCAATAGCGATGAGGCAATCACCTTGAGAGGTTTTGTCGTCTGTATGTTGATATTTATTTGTGTTTGGCAAACAGGTGGGAAAGCCATGGCGCCACTCTCCCAGATTCAGTGACTTTATTCAAGTCCACCTACGCTTCCGGCTGCTCGGCGTCGGGGGACGAGGAGGGGACTGGACAAGAAAAACGCAGGTGAGGCACCTCGGGAACAGTGGCCGGTGCCAGCGCCACCTACACAAGAGAAGGCCGTACTCCTGAACGGTCTACGTTGCTGAATGAGGGCCAACACACCGAATACGAGTACTACGTCAGCATTCGGCTGGAACTCGTGTTGAGCCAGCCAGAACATTAGTCCCAGACGAAGCTGCTTTTGTCCAATCTGTAATCTAAGCTGAACAATACTCAGCGCTACGGATTTCTTTGTAGGTGCGGTTGCCAAACTGGGCGCCATCACCATCCGCCGCTTGAACCCCAGTTTATAACTTATTGTACACACATTAGTAACGGTACTACATAAAAAAACACAAAGCTCCCACTTCTTCGAAACAAGCAACTTGTTTTTATTTCCCTTTCCACAGTCCCAACTCTCATTGCGATTTTAAAACTCACATTTTTCTCGTTACGTATTTTTTTTTAACAAATGCGGTTTTCAGTAATTGGATACAACAGTCCAACGTAACATCACGGAGTGCTCGCAGCGTCGCGCCGTAGATGTGGGGTTTACCCAACGAGGTGATAAGGTGTCCCGGAGATCTGTGCAGCACCGCATTATTCGCCAGTCCCCACTCGGTTCTTAGTTTTGTGAGGAACTCGTCGCACACAGCACAGGCACACTAGCACTCTCACGCAGGAGCATGTCGTCTGAAACGTCTCTCCACGTATCCTGGACGGATCATCACAGATATGGGGTTTCACGGCTGTTCACGGGTGGCATCAGGACACGCAGACCGCCGTCTCCTGCGAGTTCATATAAAAAAAAAAGAGCAAGAGAAAACACAGAAAACATTTGGGCTCCAATCTACGCTGTGAAGGTGCTTGGACAGCGAAGCTGTAGTATCGCCTGCAACGATTACCCACTGCACCATAAACCCTTTTTATTGGAAATGCCACCAGATGGTGCTCCAGTCTTTGACTTCCGAGTGAACTTTTGGCTTATAAAAAGAATGAACAAAGGCCACCTCATAGCATGCTACAGGGGTGGCCAGGCTGGCCTCGCCTGAGAGCCGCACACAAAACCACGGAACTTCTAAGAGCCGCAAGGGGGGGGGGGGGGGGGGGGGGGGCAAACTTAACTTTTCTTTAGAGTCTGACTGTACGTATGCGGGCACAAGGCTGTACGACGGTACGTATGGGAGTACAAGGCTGACAAACTGCCAGCTGCAGTGTGCTTTATTCTGAAATCCTTTCTTTTTTTTTTCTGGGGAAACGCGGAAAGTGGCAAAGGGGGGGGGGGGGGGGGGGGGGTCTTCTTACTAGGGATCCGCGAGCCGCACTTGGACCAGCGAAGAGCCGCATGCGGCTCGCGAGCCGCGGTTTGGCCACCCCTGGCATACTACAACGGAATTTCTGCGCTTATTTTTCGGTCCATATCTGTTCAAAGGAGCAGTATCCCGTCAGACACATCAATTTCCTGTTAAAAGGGAGACGAAAAGGAGTTTTAAAACGAATTAAACGATTAGCAAAGAGTACTTGCTGGATGTCGCTAGCATCTCGTTTGCAATGCCCGCCTAGGAACCTTGACAGGTATGGGCGGTAACTGTCTCGCCTCCGGCCACGACGAGAGAAGAGCTAAAGGATGAACTCCCCTCTCCCCGAGAATCACTTTTGTGGGTCCCAGAAGTCGCTATTGTCCCTCCACAAGATTATAGAAGGTTAACCCGTCACCCAAAAATTCTTATAAAAGCAGCCGCTTCGGTGGCTGGAACGACTAGGCCATCCTCTCGACATCAGCCTCGCCGCAGCTTTGTTCGTCCCGAGAGGAACTACGTCACGATTACGTCGGATGTCACGCGCTCTCTGCTGGCTGTTCTCCAAGCGCTTGACAGAGTGTGCCTTTTATAACAAAAAAATACAGCCATCAGGCTCAAAAAATACAAACGTGTGGTTGTCATTTACGGATATTGTGGATCATATCCTACCTATTTTTGAACACGACGGAAATATTTTAAATATCGTTGAAGTACCCCTTTAAACAGCTACTTGAAATGTACATGGAACGTTTAACCCCCGATTCTCCAGGTGAACACCAAAAGAACGAAGGAGGGCGAAATCTCTTAAAAGGTTTTGAGTATTCTTGTAAACCACCTTGCCTCCTCCAAGATGTAATATTGTACAGCTGAAGGCCCTCGTTATATCTCCAACTCTGTTGTCCGTGTAGCGTTTATGCCTTCTAGCACTGGTGATATAAGCGAGGTCAACAGTCTTCCATAGACGGTGCCACCAGAAGTCGTTTGGGACACAAGCTGCAGTTCATGTTTGTAAACAGCAAAAGGGTCAATAAAAATGATTCACGAAAGAAAAGTAAATGCACTGTATCAAAACTCTTTTATATATGAAAGACTTCGCACGCTGCCGTTGTTGGGGTAGCTTCTGCTACCGTAATCTTTACCGAGAAACGGATGCGGGGAGCGCTACGTGCTTCGCATTGTTTTGCGCGCGCCTTATCACCTAACGTGTGGTTTTGACACTTGTTTTGTGGTTTTTTTAGTGAAACAAGTGTCAAAACCACATGATAGAAGATAAGGCGCGCGCGAATGAAGGGCTTTCTGTCGACTACTGTCCGGTGAACGGACACGAAAAAAACTCGACCAACGAGTCATATAGAGCTTCGCTGTAAAATCACCGGTTTGTTAGAGGTAGTCATTGACAACTTAAGAAACGAAAGCGTGACATGTCCCGAGTGCCTCATTATTGTTTCGCAGGCAATGAAACTGTGACATTAGGTAATAAGAACACCAAATCAGTCACTAAGCAAGATGTATGAGCACAAGAAACAACGCCCTGCGTTTCGTCGGTTGCCAGTGACTTATCCAGGTATGTCCCAATATCCTACCAGACGATTTACTGTTTTAAAATTTACCAACCTATTAGAATAAAACTTATGGCTTCCCAGCTCTATAAATTGTACAGCAATGTCGTTTTTAGTCTTCGTAGCATCATGTAGCAGTGGGAGCGTGCTAAACGGTTTTCTTCCAAATCTGTCCCAGCAAAGAACCGATGCACAAGAGGTGCCCAAGAGGTTTGTTTCCTCGAGCCCTTTCTAAAACTGCACGCTTGTGATTGCGACTCCAGTAAAAGATTGACAGACGTCTTTGAATCGAACGTAGCTCGTCTCACCTTTCATGAATGATAGTTTGCTGATCTCGCGGTCGCATTCAGCTTCCGAGACTTCGTGAAGGTCGTCGTCTTCAGCTTGCCGTGAACCGCGATGTGGAGAAGGCTCGGAGTCGCTGTCGTCGCCGTTATAGTGCGGTCTGGAAATATCCGCCAGGATGAATTATCAAAATTACAGGTCAGTGCATTTTTTGAAACTCACTTAGATGTGACGAAATAAGCGAAAAAAGGTAGTTGCTCGCATAACTCCTGCTATTAAAGGCTCTTTTTGATAAAAAAGAAAAGCCATGCAATAATAATAAGCAGGAATTCCTTGAATAATGGTTTCAATACAATGTACATCGAATAATTAATCTTTTTTTTTAATTTCTTTACATGCTCATGAACAGCTCAAGCGTTTGCACTATAATGATCCCCAACTGAAAGGTTGAAGGTTAGCCATAAACATGGTAAAGAATCAACGAGATTCAATTATATCTAATAAGAGATATATACACATATTTATTATAAATAGCAAAATCTTAACTTACGAGCCTGTAATTTCGGAGTGTGACCACATTACTTTATATATATATATTTCTTCGCCACGTTTCCCATGGCGAAAAAACGCCACGGGAAACGTGGCATGCGGTGCCCCGCACCTCCACCACAATTTGAGGGTCTCAAGAAGTACAAACAGCGGCGGTTGTGACGTTAGAATCTCATTGTCGAAGAAGAAACCCCTCAATCCGGACCTTGCGCTCCGAGATCTCCGAATATAACGAACGTTTCGTAATTAAAGGGTAGAAGCTTTAATATGTGTTAGGCAAGATTTAAAACATATAGATAATTCAAATTAATTAAAACTTTAGACAATTTTATAGAAGTGCGGAGTTTAAGCAGATAAAACGCATAAAAAGCAAACATAAAATAAAATAAAAAAAACGTCAAGCATGGAGGGGGTTTTATTATTTTCAAAATATCTTATCCAGAGGAACGCACAAGCATAGTGTGTTTTTACTTTCTTATGTTCTCGTGCTTATTTTTAATCATGAATCGATATTTAAGAAAAGAATGTGCAATTACATGCATTCCCATGTGAATTAAAAATACTATACTAAAAAATTAAATGTCTTAATAGGGCACGGATGTCATGGAAAAAACGAAGGAAACATGTTTTCTGCAAAACCAAAAACTGCAATATTTTTGTCGTACGACATATTTTGAGTTTAGAGCGATTCTGAATCATGCCTCTATTTCTAGTTGCAGACCTCAAAACAAGACCATGTTTTTTTTTGTTTTTTTTTTAATTGTTTTTAACTCAAAATGAGCACCGCAACGCATATACACCACCACGCGGCGCTGACGTCACGCCGCTGCGGTGGCGCTGCTATCGGCTGGGCAGCGCAGTCGCTTGACGCGAATCTGGTTCGTGCGCACGCGCAGTGCCCACAACTCCTCGTGCGGAAACTGCACGTTTGCCCACACCTCGCGAGGGCTTGTCTGGAAACAGCGCGTCTTGCCTATAGCTTCTGGAACGCTCATGTAAACTTTACAGTCTTCAAAGCTTTTGCAAAGATTCTGGTTTTTAAAACGCAACCTTTCTCATAGTACGACAAAGACAGTGTTTTGGCCTATAGGTTTATAATTAAACCTAGGCTAGAATATGCTCATGTTATGTAGGATCCCAGCGCCAAGTGTTCTTCTGACGTGCTCGAGGCCGTGTGAAAACTAAAAAAGGCATTACGGCTTGCGTAGAATTCCTTGTGTTTTATGTCTTCAATATCTGAATTATATGTCCGGTCAGGGATGAAGGATTTAGATTCACGACGAAAAATACATCGGCTTAAGTTTCTCTTTACAATATCGTTCGCGGTAATTTGCTACTTTGCCTCAACGATTATTCGGCAGTTAACGAAGCTAGGTCTCCAAGAAAATACACCAACTAACAATCATCGAACCATATTGCGTAGAACCACATTGTTTAAATCGTCCTTCTTCCCTAAAACAATAGGCGAATAGAATAATCTGCCTAAAAGTGTTCTTAATTGAGAATCACTGACCATTTTTACGACTACTGAGACATTTCTCCGTCAATTAATTTTGTGATTTCTTTTTTTTTTTTTACCGGGGAAAGTAATTTAAGATCTTATCTGTTGTGTCCGTTTTTTTTTTTTCTTTTATCGCTCCTCCTCTCGAGTTTGTAACGGTCAATTCGTTTGCCTATAAAGCGTTTGTATGTTTTGTTTTTGTCATTTTTGTGGTATAGGCTCTCTGCCGTTGTGCTTAAATAAAGGTACTGACAATGTATAATAATAAATGAATAAATAAATAAATATCGCGCTCATGTTCCCGTGTTGTTGTTGTTTTTACGGGGAAAGCATATTTTGTGGCATAGGCGTCTCAGCCAGGACCTTCAAAACATATCTTTTAGGAGATCAGTATTCATTTAAAGTGAAATGAGAAAGTAATACTAAACTCCAAACTTGTTTCAATTGCCTCCTTTTTGAATCTTTTGACCCGTGCATGTCAGTAGTCTAAGAAGACCAACATACCACAACAACGAAGAAGAGAAAGAGGCTGTAGCGACACAAGCCAGCACTTCGATGATTCCAACCCCCGAGACACCGGCCGCACGTCTCGAATTTATAACCTTCGTATTTATGCGAAATATAAGGTATTGTTCGGCGAAATTCTTTCTGATTTAAATCAGTTACCAACAACACACTGATGGCATGCGTTACGGAAACAGAACGAACCGATTGGACGTCCGCGGTGTCCGGTAGTCTGACAGCTGCGGCGTGGGGCACCTCGGCGTAGGAAGCCACTGCTGGTGCGAGGCCAGCTCTCGCGTCAACTGTCCGCTCCGGCGACGCTCCAGAGTTTTCCTTCCTATGTCACAAACCTCTGCGCAAGAAAGGGATACTCGGGTCATTACGAGGATCCCATATAGTGCTATTCAAAATATGGATATCCGGGATTCATCTCCAGTGCTCTGTGCCACACGTTTTGGTTAGTTCGGAAGGTGCCGTGCCGTTTTCGGTATTATGAGAAAGAGGAACTTCGTGTATGTGCAAGCTTCAAAAAAAGAAAGCTAAAGGCAAACGTAACAATACTGCGACTTACAAACCGGGACAGGAAAAAAAAGAGAAATATTTTAACAACATAATATTATGTACAATGCGCAGTTCCTAGTGTTTTATAAGGTTCGCATTTATCACACAAATAAATTTGCAGTATTAGTTCATTTTTGTTTTCAATCCATTGTCAAACGTTTCCCATACATATAATTCCTTATATTTATTTATTTTTATACTCTCAAGGCCCAGAGGCTCTACAGAAAGGAGTGAATGGTACAGATGATTACGTGTTGATTAATCTGTGCGAATGTTCATTTGCATATCTGCTCTGGTTAAGCCCCTACTCTCTATACTTTTGCATGCTTTGGGGTGCAATAAATAAATACGAGACAGGGAAATCCGCGTGCTCAGTTGCATCAGGCGGCTCACTTCAAAAATTTTCCACATTAATATCTCCTGTCTACTTTCGACTACTCACTGCTTTATCTCATGTTATTGACGGGGTATTAACAACGTTTTCATTAGAGGAGAATTGCATCATTACCTCCGTTACTCATAAAAAGAATAGCGCTCGTGTGTAAATCAAAGGCAACTGAATTCAGATATCAGTAAGAGGGGCACATTATGTGTTCCTGACTCTGGTTAAACGTACGCTCAAAAAACAAACGAATTATGAAGCAAGACATTGTGCTCAAGTAGTGTTCCGGGCAACCATCATCCAGAGTGACATAATTCCAGCATTCTGGATGCTCCACAGACCTGTGAAAGTGGGGTGTCATAGAAACTAAAGCAGAGTGCAGGAACAAATCAAAACTGCATTTTTCATGAAGAAATTTCTCAAATTATTTTGTATACTACATGGATCCACGTGGGACAATCTTCTCATTAAAAAATGGTGTGCCGTGTCCATGTGTGACTTTGCGTGCATCCTACTTAAAGCTCACGATGCATAATATAGGAGGCATTCTTGAATCGCCATTTTCCGATGGTTTTGCTTTGCACCTACCAAGTGTTCTTCGTCTTAGGACAGTCCTTGGCGTGCCAAAAAGTGATCTTCCTACTGTAAAAAAAAGTGCGCCATTCCCGAAATAATGGTTGTTCTTCCAGCGTGTAGTCACACCGCATGGAGTGCACGAAAGAGGAGTGATGTTCCTGAACTAGAATCTTCGAAGCTAAAAAAATATTTCCAGACTTTATCTTTGCAACTTCCGCGATAGAATAGAACCATTGTTTAAAAAAAAAACGCGAAGAAATACAATAACTGTTTAAAAAACATTCACAACAAGCCTAATACCGCCTAGCTCGTTCATAGGCAAAAATTTAACAAACATGTTAATTAATCGAGGTCAATAAAATTTAAAGAGGTATTTTATTAAAGGCTGAAGGATTCATTGATACAGTTTCTTAGTGATAATGTCAAAGATTTTATTGATACTAAGATCCTAATGTACCATTATCTAGGTTTTCGCAATTTTTATCGAATATCAATTGATGCGAAAGTGTCGTAATTTGTAACAATTCATAAAAAAAAATATATATATATACTACATTACGTGACATCAAAAACTAAATACGGAAGTCGTTCTCACTAATTGAAGTGTGCTTCGCAATACAGAAGTGCGTTCATCATAGTTCACAAACCTGCCAGTTGAAGCCGCCTTCTCTCAATAATTGTCACGAGAAGAATCGCCATGTCGCTGAGACGAATCGCCGGAACCATGCGCAATAACACAAGGAAGAATGCGAGGAAATATATTTTAGGCGCCATGCCCGACATTATTGCAAGTGTTACCAGAGTGGCCCTAAGTTCCAACGTATCGTTCAGTAAAGTCAATGCCCTAAATCCAGTAAGAAAAAAAAAAAGGAACTACAAAACGGGTAGTCCGTTTTAAGTTGTAATCTCAAAAGGAAGGAGGTAATTGAGTTCGTCTAGAGCTCAAAAACAACAGGACATCTCTGGGGTTGATCCTCTAATTATTTTGTCGGTACTGGACAGCCAACGCAAGAGTTCGTACTATGACTTGGTGAGAACCGTCACGAACCAAATGCGATACCCGGGTGACCATGCGTTAATAATTTGCTGGACAACAAAACAGGAAGGTTATTTCTCTTTTTTTTTTTTTTATTATTTATTATTTCTTCACGATAGTATCTATCGTGAAGGATCAGAGATACAAACACAACAATCACTGGTCGCATAAAATTGCCACCGAGAGTCAAGGAATGGGAAAAATAAAATATTTAGCGAACATTCCAATCGGAATGAAATGCATTATTTTAGAAGGATATACTTTTGTGTAGCGCAGTCTTACTGAAATAAAAAAAAAATTAAAACTGTTACCATTTTAAAAACACAAATCCAAAGAAGAAAAAAATTCATTTCTTTTGCTACTCGAATTATAGTCTTGTAATGTTAAATCTTAATCAAATCATCTGTATCATTATTTTTTTACTTATCTATTTTATCTGTGTTTTCATGCGTAAATCTCTTCTCTAGTTAAATGTGCTTGATGTGTGTCACTTGTAATAAGGTATGTTAATTCCTTCATAAGTCAAAAATATCTTTGTTTTAATCTGGATCCTAGATGAGATTGCAATTCACCTTTAAAATCGACGATTTGGGGAAGATGTTTTTCTGCTGAGGCGGCTGAAATTGACTTAAATAAAGTTATCGGCACGAGTACCAGCGGGAAATATAAATAGCGCGCAGGATGTGTTTTTTTTTTTTTTTTTTTTTATTTGGGAAGAAAATACAATGGTATTGTTTCTGATGAATTAAGGAGTTTTTTTTTTTCCAAAACTATCAAACAAGTATGGAACCCAACTTTAAAAAATGCCTGCAAGAAAAACAAACTGTGACCGTCTGAAAACAAATAATAAAATTCACCTCGTTTCCATCACCCACCAGACAACTAATGATAATAAAAAAATATAATGAAAACTTACAGTGATCAAAGCGCGTTTCAAGCTCCGTGTGTGTACTGTTCCTTAATTGTATAAAATTGTATAACTTCTTTTCTGTTTTAACTTTAAAAAAAATAGCTGCTGAGTTTAATCGGTTTCTATTTTTCCGCTGCACATCATGCACTCACAATGTTTTTGTCAGCCCTTTGATAACGATTACGAAGTTATCAATGAGCTTACAAACAAACTGCATTCCTCAAAACAACCAAAGTATCTGGACTTCTTTTTTTCTTTCTTGCTTTTTTTTTTTTTTGGGGGGGGGGGGGGGGGGGGGGAGGGGGCGAGGGGGGGGGGGTTGAATGCAGCGATGCAGAGTGAATTACTTGACTACAAAATTGTGTCTATTAAAAGGAATAATATAAAATTAATACGCACTTACGGGGCACTTGATAGACGTTCGCCGACGGCACGGGCGTTGGCATGACCCTCTTCACCTTGGAATAGGTCTCCTCTTCGCCTGGAGGCTGCGAACGAAAGAGAAATCGAGTTAATGGCTGGACAAACGGCTCGCGATAAAAACGAAGCGAAACGTGAAGACAAAAGTTACCATATACGTTTGCTGGCTCTAAACACAAAATAGCATAAAACTTTGTGATTAATTTTGATAGGTGGCAGTCACTAGCCATGATGTTGAGCTTAACTTGCAAACCTCAACTCGTCTTTAATGCTGGAAACACACCCAGAATCACTTCGTTTCGGGATTTCAACTTGGGCAGCCTTTCGCCGTCGTGCGAAAAATTATTATAATTTGTCGATGCTAAAAAAAGTGGGGAGGCCAGTTGGTTCAGAGGCAAAACACAAGGCTCCAAAAAACCTTTGTGTTGTCCGTCAGGTTTTTTCCCCGCTCCTGGGTTACCATGTCAATATAATTGTGACTTTCATTATTAAGAACACTGTACAAAACTCTATTTGTATAACAAAACTCGTACCAAAACTGTACTTTTAAAATCGTGCCTTCCTTTTTATATGTGTCGGTTGTATAAGTAAATACTAATAAATATTATCTCGAGTGTACAAAATGCACAAGAAAAAAAAACAGAAAAAGATTGACATTCAATCGCATCGGTAAAAATGCAATAGATCACCCACACCCACACGAACAAAAAGAAAGTTTCAGCCCTGGAATTCCACTCCGTAGTCCGCCCAAGGTGAGGTTCGAAATACGAGCGCGGGTAAGCAAACCAGCAAAGTGGTGAAACGACCAAGTGAACACATCCCTGCCGTCACTTAGGCCGGCTGTGTGGTTCTGGGCGCACCACGTGTGCACCCCACCAGCCGGGGAACAGAAAACAAAAACGAGAAAAGAAAAGAAAAAAAGAAAACAAAAAAGGCTGAGAGTAAACAAGAGTCGACAGAAGCCCTGGCCAAACAAATGGCGGCGACTCATGTCAGAAGCAGGTGCCGCTGGGGCGTGTTCTGAGGCTGTTCACGAGTTCCTGACTATTATTAGCGTACCACCGAGTTTGCCCGAAGACGTCTCTTCCTCCGCCATATAACCGGTTTGTTGCTTTGATTATCGCGTTTGTTTTATTGTTCTTCCTCCGGCACGCTCTTGGCTCCGTTGCTAATGGACAAAAGGGCACTCCGAGCTGCGTGCGCAAGACTTCTGGGATTGCGGGAATGGGACAGCCAAAAGAGGGATGAACAAATGCCGAGGAAACTGTGACGTGTGTGTTATTTTTCAACATTTAGATTCAGAGTTCTTCTCTTTGTTCGTCGCCGACATCGTTTGTTTGACTCGACTCGCTGTCAGCATAAGGAAAGACGGGAGTGGCTTATGACGCTCGCGCTTCCAGTTTCGGGATTTGTTCGTGGGCGTGGTCACCGAAGAATTCCACGATCTCATTGGCTGCGAAGGAATAACATGCTTGGGACGCGGTGCGCACAGCCTTTCTTCATGGGGTCACTATGTTTATAAGATACATTCTAAGAAAAAGTACGTGAGTTCACTTTCCCGCAGAACACAGAGTTTGGCAGTCGGGGGCGAATAATAGTAGAACCTCCAGCCATGACGATGCTTACAGGGAAGCTTGAAGAAGATCTTAAAATAAAAAAAAAAAGAATTACATGTGAATTCTAGAGTATTTTTATCCCGCGAATCTGAATGTGGCGTTTGTTTTCCCCCGAAGATGTAACTAAACGCGAGAAAACACAAAAAACCTCCGACCAGTCATTGCGTCATACCCAGATCTTTCCGCCGCCAAGCGCGTGTTTTTCGTGTGGCAATGTGTGCAATTGCGAGCTCGCCAGGTATATTCCCTTCCACTAACACCAATCGGGACGCTTTTTTTTCTTTTTCTGGCCTTTTTTTTTTTTCTTTTTTTTTTTTTTTTAAATAGCGAGAGTTTGCGATCATAGTTTTGATAGGCGCTGAAAATTTGAAAATTATTTTCTGCAGTCCGTGCACCAAATTGAAAACTAATCTTGACATTTGTGATCGTGGAGGCCAAACGCAGATGATATAAGTGTTTTTCCTGAAGTAAAGAACTGCTTCCGTTCTCCTTTTATCCTAAGAATAATAATGGTTATAAAAGTAATCTTTCATGACCGAGGGGAGACACTGCACCGCGGAAAGACGACAGCCAGTACCATAAACGCCCTCGATGCCGCGTTTATAAAATAAAAAAAAAAAACAGTAAGGATGATCATAGGTTGATATAATATACAAGATGCATGACGATGTTGAAACGGAGCTTGTGGGCGAGGGTGCGGATTGATGTAAAATGCAATTAGGCAAAAGAAAGCGAAGTATCATTGCCCCTGCGCCCGTAGCACCTGCCTGAGCCGTTTTTGAACCGGTTACACCCTCTAAGTGAGATGACAAAAGTGCATTGGGTTGAATAGTTATTGCTGCGGTTGCTAAAAAAAAAAACTGTACATATCACAAGTAAAGCGTAAAGTAGTAAAATACTTTGTCCGATAATAAACGTTTACCACTTGACTCCTTCAGTTTCTAAGAATTCAAGATAAATCGATTAGGGGCTGTCAGTAAAATGCCCCCGTCTTTTGAGGACCGATCCCCGTCAATTAGTATTCCGCTAATCCGATCTTTGAAACTTACAAGATCAAGACAACAAGGTGCACAAAATCGTAAGAATTCCTCAAATATAAAATCTGAAATAATAAAAAAAGAAAAACTATTTTAGTGAGGCAGGAAGTTTGATAAGTTCGGGCAGTTAGATGCAAATACCACATTTCATGAAAGTTCTCCTCGGCGATGCCCGCTTCGTTTTCGAGGGCCCATCGAACCGCAAAAGCAGAGTAGGAATTAGCATATTCCGCGTCTATATCTGGCGTGAAGATGATGTATGGAGCTGCTTATGCGGTCGAGTCTGCGGCAGCGAAATTGGACGGTGGAAAGCGAAAGAGGAGCGCTGAGACCACAAATTTCTAAACAAAACTCGCACAAACGATGGATGGACCAACGCCTTGAAAGTTTGTTTGACTCAACGGCAAAATTTGTTCGATGTTCGAGGAGTTAAAGAGGTTGTAAAAACGGCAGCCCTATAAATCAAGATATGGACGTATAATTTTCCGGTCTATTGCTCCCGTATTATACACGAAAGGTACACGTGCAAGTAAAGGCTGCACGTGCTATACACCACGTGTTGTACCAAAGTCGCTCTGCTAATCCTAATAGATGTTGCAACACCGTAGAAAGCGTAAAACAAGTAAATATAGAGTGTTGACGTAAAACTAGTCTTGAAATTAGGCGTCACCAATGCAGGAAGAAATGGGTACGCAAAAGACGCTATGCGTTGTGCAAGTTTGCCTTCTCGCACAGAAGTTGCGACGCGAAGTACTTCTTGACTGTTTGAAAATGGCTAGTTGGTAGGCTTCAAGGCGTCTAGCATTGAGGACAACAAACTACCCTTCCAATCAAAGCCAATAAGAACACGGAGTCGTCATGACGTCATCGCAACCCCTGCCCAAGAAGCAGACCCAGACGCTGGCGACGCGCAAAGCACGGACCTACAGAGATGTTAACTGAAAGCCTTTCTTAAATAAACCAGAACGAAGGTGTTCTTTTTTGTGTTTTTTGTGAAATTCGCGTTTTTTTCTGTTTTTTTCTGTTTTTTTTTTATTACGTTTAGAATATTTGCTGAGCCAGCTCAGAGCTAAAGTTAATATAATATTCTGGGTTATCGTGACTTTGCTTTCTGGTGTTCCTTTTGTACAAGTCTTGCAACTGGTTGCACGTATTTCTTATTTTTTATGTACATAATATTTTTTGTTTGTATCGTCTTATTGTTGAAAACATTCTTCTCTTTTTTTTTTGCGTAGCTGATGTACTTCTTTGTATATTATATTTCTGGTCAATAATATTTATTTTTACTTCTTGATAGAAATTAAGTTACTCTAGCTGAAAGTATAAATGAGCAGATACCTCGCGAGGCATTCCGCCTTTAGTCTCTACAAACTCTTAGGTAACGAGAAAAAAAAGTAAAAATAAAATATCCGCCAAACTTTTTTCAAACACACCAAATCAGTGATCGTCCTCTTAGATTGATATACCAGCTTCTAGACGCCATTGGAACGTCTAGAAGCTGGCTATTGGCGTCTAGAAGACGCAAAGGCTATAAATAGGTAGGCTAAAATAGCGTAAAAACTGAAGCAATTGCACCTGAACTCACTGGTAACTTATTCAGACGTTCAGACCACTTAAAAGCCGACTTCCGCATCACATAATTCATGCGGTGTTCCTCACAAAACTTCTTAAAACCGTTTTAAATTTTCACAAGAGCCCAATTTTCGTTTGAGTCGACTTGCGTGGAAGATAGACACTATTGGACTCCTGCGAAGGCTATAAGAGGTAGGCTAAAATAGCGTAAAAACTGGAAGAAATTTCACCTTAACTCACTGGCAAGTTATCCAGACCGTTCAGACCACTTAAAACCCGCACTCAGCATCATATTATTCGCGTGTTACTCTCTTATAAACAATGACAGCCAGAATTTGATGATGCTTTGCATAAAGATTATCATAATTTACGCTCAGTCTTCTCCTTAAATAATCCGCTGCCACTTTTTAGTGTTTAATGGTGTCATGTGTGCTCCAAATTTGATTGATGCTTCCCTTCCTCCGACTCCTCGCACTTGTTTTAAAGGGCAACTCAGCTCAGATCCGGAAATCGCTAGAAAATGAGGGATTTCATAATAAAAAGCACAAATAAAAGGCACTACGGCATTTGCATCGCGAAAAAATAGGGTATATAATGTTAAATCTGACTTTAAACATGAGCAGAAAATGAAACCGAAACTTCGGCTTCGTCTGGCAACATTGGCCTCAGCCTGCCAAAAACATTGCTATCACGTGACCCGAGATATCACGTGATCCCCTACGCAACGATAGGGCCACCGTTGGGGCGGGCGTGTGCCAGGCGCAAGTGTCGTCTGCACCTCACTCTTCACTACGCTTTGGTGTCTACGACATTCGACGACGTCTGCAAAACTGCGGCATAAGT